TGTGTGTTACTGTACTTGAACTCAGAGCCTTGCATATGCTAAGCAGATGATCCACCACTGAGCTACCTCCCCAGGCCTGATTATTTCTTTATGGTGAAAACAGAAGATTTACTTTAAATCAATATATAGATTAACACTATGTATTAATTTAAGTATTTTCTATATTTTTTTAGTTATCATATTTTTCTAAGTGCATATTACCTTAATACTTTTTTAAGTAAATCAGTCAAATGTTTGTGAAGCATTTTAAGTCACAGCTAAAAACTTAAATAAGAATTACTCACAGTACCTCAGTTACTTATAAAAATACACATACAAAAGTAATGGCTATGCCCTATACATACATAGTTAATACTCAGTAAAGATTAGCTACAAGTAGTAGTCATTATAGTCAGTCAATTGTATATATATTTGGGGGGGGAAAGGTAATTATATTCCATTCTATATACCTTTAAATTTAAAGTGGCTTTATGTTAAGCTGGAGTTAATTTTGAATTATTCAAACAGTGTTTCTTACTGCGTATTCACACTCAAGGATATAATATACCACAATGACCTAACATCCTCAGATCATTGCAGATTACCAAAGTCAGAGTAAAAGCGGTTTTATAGGTTCCTTTCTCCAAAAGTATGTTATTGCTGAAGTTACATGGTTTCCTTTTTCTATCTTTTCTTTCACATTTTTTTCTTATCTGAGGGCCATTTTTAATAATGATTAAAAGTTTGTCAACTCAAAGGGAACTGCACATAGGAGTAAGATAGCAGGTAGGAGTCTCAGGTACTGGACACTTGGCAAACTCCCAAAGAAAGTGATTCGCTGTAAAGTAAACAGCTATGCCAGAATGGATTCAACTCACACTTGTATTTCAAATCACAAACCATCCCTATTTGGGTGTGGGTACACCCCATTACTTCTGAATATTTAAAGTCACAAATGTGGCTTGAGGGAAATGGATCATATCTCTCCTTCCCAATAACCTGCTTAGTGTTTAATAATGATTAATAAGGGATTCTTTCTTTTTTTGGATTATTTCTTTTAACTCATGCTTTGTGTGGTAATACCATGTTTATTGAAATTTATGCATGGTGACACCAGTATTTGACAAATTCTTAGAACCATTTTTATTCCATGGACAACATTTATACCAAAAATATATTTTATTGTTTATAACATTATTTAATTATTTAGATTTACCTTCTTGAATTTCAGCCCATGTAATCTTTTCTAGCTCCCTAAGATAGAATTTGTTTTGTTAATTGTCAGTCTCATGCTAATGTACCCAAGCTCCAGGGGCCTTTATAGATAATTTCTTGTAAATCTGCAGTTGTCTGAGATAAAAATACATTTTTATAAAGTTTACTGGGCAGTGCTTTTATTCTTTGATTTCTGTCTTTTTTGAGCAGTTTTTGTTTCTTCTTCTATGTTCATCTCAGATATTATTTAGACCATAAAATATTCACTGATCTTAAAAATCCATGGTTAGCGTAGCTTACACTCTTGTCATTGAAGGATAAGCATAATATTTTGATTTTCTTATTTCATTAAATTTCTTATTGTTGCATCCTGTTTGCTTGGGCTGTATTTACATATTTATATACCAACAAAAGACAAAGTTCCTGGTGAAAGAAAACAAGCTATAAACAAAAAAAATCATAAGTTAATAGCTCAGGTGAAAGTATAATTTTAAAATAGGATATTGGCTCAAAGAGTAATGGAGAAGGGCTGCAGTATTACATAGGGTGTCCTGTCAAAGGATCTTATCAAGATAACCTTAAAATGGACCTACATGAAGTGAGAGCCTAAGTAACACAGAGACTGGGTGGGTGAGATTTTCAAGCAGAGGGAGCAGCAAATGTTAAAGCCTAAAGTGGGAACCCTCTGAGCCTGTCCCAGGAAGTACAAGACTACGATGCCTAGAGCGGAGCAAACAGAAGAGGAGGTGAAGTCTGTGTAGTGTCAGGGCTTTGAAGGGCGGCTGTGGACAGAAGAGAGAGGAGATGTGGTTCGTGGTTGACAAGGATCATTTTGTCTGTATGTGGGCTGTGACGAAAATGTGGAAATGACTGATTTTAAACTTTCTGGATAACGACCACCTTGACCCCAACAAAAAGAATACGTTTACATCATTACTCAAGTACGTTTTATTCTTTCACTTGCTTGATAATATCTCCTCTGGCTCCACAGAGTATCTTTTTGGCCTACCTAATAGACAAGTGCTGTGCTAACTTGACAAAATTTCTTACCAACTTGTTATCCAAGAAATGGTACCAAAGTAACATCTTAGCATCATTATGAACTGGAGACGAAAGTACCATTTCCAGATACTCACCACACATGAACCTTTGCTCTGAGAACCCAAATTTTAGAGGGACACAAGACTTTCCTGTGGGATTATTAGGTCAGAACTAGAAGAGTATTAAAAACTGCTATGGGCCCTCCTTTACCTTCAGGAGTGCGGGCAAGCAATGCATAGCTCACCATCCTTGATCTTGACAGCTCCCAAGTGCAGAGCTGGTTTCAGAGGAAAGAAATCTTTCCTCTGCGGGGGACCCTGGAGGCCTCCAAGTGAGCGGTCCTTGTGAAGTGACTGAGTATACCACAGAATTCTGTTAAGAGAGTCAAGAATAAAGAGTTAAATAAATTTCCTAAAATTAAAAAACAAATTTACCATAAGCCCTGCACCATCCAAGATTCTTTCTGATGTTGTTTAGAAGTACTAGTCTAGTATAAATTGCAAAGAATGATGAATGCAGACCTATAATACATGTTTCTTTCAGGCAGACTGAAGATTTGATACCAAGAATAGATTTGATCTATTTTTTTCTCCCACAAAAAATGGTGTTTGTAGATAACATAGAAGGACAAAGTAGATATCCAGAGCATATAAAATGGGCAGTGTAACAAGAACTCTTTAGGTTCTAATATAACTAAGTAAGACTTTATCAAGAAAATGTATTTTACCAACGTTTTGTTTTGAAAAGGTTTATTTTGAAGGTGATTTGATTCAGTTTTTGTTCAGTACTCAGAAGAATTTTGGAGGTGTGTCTGTTAAATCTGTGCAAATAAAAGAGAAAATACCATTGCAAACTTTATTTCCCTGTGGCCATTAACCTTCATAGAAATAGCATTTGTTAAAATATTTGTTAGATATTAAATTCTGTGGTACTCTAATGGTATGTAAATCACATGTGGGTATTTGTGTACAGAGATAGATACCAATATTGATGTAACTATAAATACAATATTGTCAAACATTTAGGCCACTGTAATTATGAAATAATAAAATAGTGAAAAAGAAAAACCTCTTCTAAATCATTTTCATTTTCAAATGTAAAAATGTTAGATTTTGAATGCTGACTCCCACCCTGTGAAGCTGGAGTGGTATAGCACTTTTGACAGGAAAAGCTTTGTTAAACTAACCTATTACTAACACTTCATAGTGAGGAACATGTTTTAGGAACTTTATATACCCTTCCTTCCCCTGGCTTATAATACACAGAACATACATAGCAGAACCCAGCAAGACATTCTGTAGTAGCCATGGTATAGCTGAAAACAAAGCACTGACCATCCACTCACGGGAAAGGAGTTGGTCACTGCATGAGGCTTATGGATTGGACAAAAAGAAATCATTTGATCTATTACTTGGTAATCAAAAGTTTTAGATTGGATTTTGGATTTTTTTCCGATACCGGAAATCGAACTCATGACCTTGCGCTTGCCAGGCAGGCGCTGTGCCACTGAGCTAAATCCCCAGCCCCTAATCAAAAGTTTTAAAATATAATAGTTTCATTTCCAGATTTATGAAATGTGTATGTGGGGTGTAATGTCTGTAATTGCCAAAATAACCCTGTTCCAGTGTCCCTGATGACGTGTTCAAACATCCTTCGCCTCTGAGCCTCTTTCCCAAGAACTTCAGAACGTTGTCTCAGGCCTCAGTAGTTTTTTACTCTACATCTATTGTGAGAAACCATTAGAGAAATGACTTTTTCTTTTTCTGTCATGTTTTACTTTCTCCTTGTCCCTTAAAAAAAGCAAAACCAGAGAAGTTTATTTGGTCCTATGGAACCAGAGGTGAAAACAATAAGGAAAGTATCCAAGAACTGATGCAGAATCTTCACAAGTACTTAGGGCAGGCCACGTGTTCATGTGCACGGCTCACACTGAGACCGTAGCATAAGGGAGTGGGCATGCATTTAACATTATTTGCAGATGTAAAATCCTACCCGATTTATACCTCTGATAATTTTCTTACTTTCAGACTCTAGCTGTAGGAACATGCAATCAGTATGAAAAAGCATAGATCAAAAATTCAAATGCTTAATCCAACCAGGAAAACTAATCTAGAAAAAATAAAAATAAATGATATATCAGCTTTTTATAACTTGAAACCATCCTCCCTAAGTTCTATTTTTATGCGATGCAAAAAAAGTACCAAAAGTGCTTATTCATACTGCCTATAGCCTAAGACATCATTTAGACACACTGGTGTTTGTGGAAAAATCTAGAGAATTTGCAAGATAACTTTTCTGATGGATAGTTCTCTAATTTCACTCTAAATTACTGAAAGACCTTAGACATAATATTTATGTAGCCTTTTGTGATCATTTTGTTAGGAAGTATATTTCACTACCTGATACATTAGTAAGCTATGAGAACATAGTTGGATTTATTGTCACAAAACTGTATTTTTCAGATTTAATCTTTTTTGTACTTAACTATTATTCAAGAAATTTAAGGGTCTTTGTGAATTATGAATTGTTTTCTACTGAAGATAATTATTAACATACCTAAAAATGTTTTATATCAATTTCCCTTCAGTTGATTTTTAAAAATTACTGAAATGAAACATTTTGTGAAGTTTTCCTATTCTATTTATTTAGAAATACATATCAGAACTGGCTTTCACCTCTCAAGTGTGTTCTCACCCACTTCCATGTGCAGGTCATCTCAACTGTTTGTTTTTGTTTTTGTTTTTGTTGTGATATGTTCGATTCAGGTTCTACATGGTCAGCTATTATGAGCGGAGTCACAGAATAGCAGTTGGAGCACGCCATGGTTCAGTGGCCCTGTACGACATCCGGACTGGAAAATGTCAGGTAAATAAATCATCGTGCCTTCTTCTCCATAAAGTGTGGAAGTTATTGAAAGGAGAGGGAGACTAGCACTTTACCAGTTGACGTGCTGAGCTGCTGGAACATTATGGATAATGCTAAAGGGATCAATAGTTTAATGAAGGACTCAAAGAATATAGAGCCCCACTGTCTTTATTCACTAGGGCTGAAGCACTGCCAGACGCTTTCTCAGTGGAGCCCAGAGCAAGCTGGCATCACTCTCAAAGGACTCTGCTAAGTGCCTGTTATTTTTTTGAAACAAAGTTTTCTGGTTTTGTTATTTCTGCCATATGTTTTCTGAAAAACTTTTGATGAGGCATTGTTTGATGTAATAGTTGAATGAAAATTAATTTTGTCTATTTAAAGTAATTTATTTAGATGATAACGTTTTTATGGTAATAGCAGAAGAAATCACAATAATATTGTATACAGCTCTATTGAAAGGTAATTTGATATTCTTTCAAATAACGTTACTTTTTATACTTTTCTAACTCCCTACTTTTTTTTTTTTTTACTATTTTTAAAATATTCATCTTGATTTTAATCTTGAGCACCTGATTCTCAAAGTATACTTACTGAGTAGACAGGGCAAGTCTGGTCCTACTTTAGATACAAAAGAATTATAGCTCAGACCTTTATATCACCTTATCCCAGAGTTGCACTGTTAGCTAATGGCAAAACCAGGGCTAGGCACCACCATAATTATGATAAAATCATAATGTTCGTGATATAGTGTCAAGTCATAGCTTCTTACATTTCATTTTAACACTTATTAATGCTGGTGGATTAAGCTATGTTGTAATATTAGCATTTTGCAGAAAGGTTATGGAAAAATTCATAAGGGTGTGGTTAAAATTTTAGTTTGCCTCTTAAATTTAGTGAATTGTTAAGAAATCCTCCGAAGACTTTCCTGGGAGGTTTCCACAGCATAGCTCTAAAAGATGGTAAGAAGTACGGGGGTGGGTAAAATTCTGAGGGATCAGACAAATTTACGGGATATGGTTTGTGTCAAACACATCTTTGTGTGTGCCTTGGAGTCACCCCTGTGTGAATATGCATTGTGCCTTTCCTGGGAGTGTATAGAGTAGGGGGCCACTTGCTGTGCTTATTATGTAACTGTCGGGTTCTGTTGATGTGTGTGATAACTCCCCCATCCCGTTCCCACCACCACCATATTCTTTAATTTGGGTCCTTACTGGTAACAATGACACCACTCCAAGTGCCTGTTTAAAGATTAAGTTACATGTCATGGTGCTCTTTTAGACAAGATACAAATTTTTCAAATAATATTTTTAGAATTTCTTAGGAATTTTTTTACCTTTTTAAACATTTAAATTTATTTTTCATAAATTGATACATAAAATATAGAAGTTGTATTTTTATACATATATGGATGATGTATACCATGTGATATTTCAATTCATGGGTCCTTGTTTTAGATTTAAATCAGGTTAAATATGTGTGTCTTCAAACACTGTTTCTTTATGGAGTAAATATTCAGAATCCTTCCTCACAGCTCTGAAATGTATAGCACAGTGTTAGTATCAGAGCTGTAATCACCTGATTGTGCAGAAGCCTACCAGAGCTGCTTCGTCCTTCTAACAGGAACCCGGACTCCATTGATTAACCTCTCCCTTCCCCTGTTTTCCCCACCTCTTGTAACAACTACACAGTTTTTGAGACTTCTATATTTTTTGTCTTTTTGAGACAGGGTCTCACTATGCAGTTCAGACTGGCCTTGAGCTCACTTTGTAGCCCAGGATGGTCTCATACTCACAGTGATCCTCTTGCCTTAGCCTCCTGAGTGCTGGGATTATAGGTGTGTGCCACCATGCCCAGCAAGACTTTTAAAAGTTAGAATGCATTAGTGCTGGCAGACTTGAGAGAAGTGAGTCACAAGGTAAAGGCCAAAAAAAAAAGGAGAGAGTTCATCAAACTTCTTCAAAATAGTGTCAGCACAGCACCTGCCAGGCAAGCACATGGTCCTGAGTTCAAGTCCCAGTATCAAAAAAAAGTGAGAGAGAGAGAAAATCTAGAGAAGACTCTGTTAACAGATAAGATGCAGTTGCCACCAGCAGAGATGTGAGCCACTGGGAGCTCTGGGAGCCCATCTAAAGAAAAGTAAGAGGACAGGAGTTGTGCCCTTGGAAGGAAGGACTGAGCTGCGCTGAAGTACACTGTTCTTTCCATTTTACTTTCTACTGAGAGGTCTCAATCATGATCTTGGAAACGTGCAGTGATAATAATTAGAACACCTGCTTCTTTTCAGTAGAGTTGCTTAAGATATTTATCAAAGGCGGTCTTTCTTAAAAGAATGTATAATGCAATTCATATTCCACCTCATTTTCTATGCACCATTTTAGTATACTCAGATGGTTGATGTCCTTGTGATTTTCTTCCCCCCATCTTCTTCATTTTGGTACCCAGAATTATCATTAGTGTTGTAGAGGTGAATAGCCTTTACCCTTCCAGTCTATGTAAAAGAGAAACTACATTTTCCTTTCCTCATTCAGAACTTGAAAACAAAACTAAACATCCAAAATTAATCTAAACTACTCTTTCCAGTTACCATTTATATCCAGCAACAATGAAACCTTAAGAGAGACTCTTAATTATTTTATTGGTATTAGACTATTTGAAATAAAGGAGCCAACAATAGCTCAGAGAATATAAGTATAGATATCATATTTAGAAAGGATGGTTTAGTGGGTAAATCAAAGGATCATTTTGAACTAGGATGCAGTAAGTAAAGCATTTCTTGAGGAATCTCTTGGAACCAATTGCAGAAAATGGAAAATTTTTTTCTAGCATGAGCAAAGACAATAGAGATATGTCACACACATACAAAAAGAATGAATAATGAGAAAATATATGGCTAGAGGAGAGTCCCAGTTGGGTGGAAAACGAGGCATAACCACCTAGATGCAGGAGGAGAGGGGATCCACGATGGAAGAGCGAAGGCTGCCGGAGGCTGAGAGAGGAGCCCAGCGGAGGACAGTCCAGGCCCATAGAGTCACGGAACCCATAGTAGAGGGGCTGAAGGGTCAGATATGCAGATACGTCCCCTGTTTTTGCTATTTTGAATGGTGAAGAATAAAAGAAAATTTAAGTCCCTTTCTCTTACACTTTGGCATTGGCTTCTATTACCTTTAAAAAATAAAAGTTTTCTTTGGAACTGTTGTTCCCTAACTAGATTAGGAGATTTTTCAAAGCCATAGAATCAATGTGGCATATCTGGACCATGAATTTTTACTTATGTAAATGACTGGCAAACTATAACCCAAATCTGGCCTGCTGCTTCTTTTAATATATAAAGTTCTATTAGACCAAGCCCTGCTTATTCAATCACATAGTATCTACTACAGTGGCAGAATTGAGTAGTTTGTATGGAGCAGGTAACCATTTTGCAGGTAACCATTTGTTATCTGCAAGCCTAAAAGATTTAATATATGTCCCTTTGTGGTAAGGGTTAACTTACCCCTAAGATAACTGAGGAGGCAGAGTTAACTAATTTAAAAGCAATTTAAAGCATTATAGTGTAATATAATGTTTAAGAATAATAACAAAGGGGTGCAGCCTTGGATCCCATCCCACCAGTAATTAGATTTATAACTTGGGGAAAGTTTCTTAACTTCTATGAGCTGAAATTTTCTCATCTGTAAAACAGTAATAGAAATAGCACCTATTATTGTAAGATAGTAAAGAAAAATTTACCCAAGCACTTGGTTAAAGATGGTAAAGCAGACTTTATGCCAGGGAGACGGACCTTGGTGATAGGCATAAGGCCCAGTGTAACAGGGTCTTACAAAGAGGAAGAAACACTGGATTCAACTCTGACTTCCACAGGATCAAGTGAGAATTTATAACCCTGGACGACCCAGGTGGGGTCCGTAGATAAAAAATTACTGAGGAAGTGTCAGGGCTGAAGCTTTTCTGGTGAAACACATTTGTTGCTGAAGGCAGACAAGGGTGGTCAGGTGCTAAGGTGGGGGGATTCTCTCTAAATGGACTTAGCAGGATTTCTGCTCAAACTGAATGCAATAAGGACAGAGAGGGAAGCCCAAGGTCAGGCCCAGTCAAGCAGAGGAAGCCTCACCTACATCTAGGCCAGAAGCGAATTAGATAATTTATGTAAAATTCAGAGCTCAGTGTCTGCTCCAGGTTAGGATTCAGTAAATGTTGACTATTACTATATTAAAATAAGCTTTTAAATACAGTACATTACACTGAAATTACATTAATTTTAGGGAATTTTAAAGATACATTGAGGTGTTTGTGGACCTGGTGCTAAGAGCTCACTCTGGTCAGTGGGGAGCACTTTGGTAGAAAGTTGAAGAGCAGCTGCCTGAGGCCATGCACTTCCTTCCTTCCTGTGGCAGTCTTGCCTGTGGCGCTAGGCCACGTCTCTGCTGATTGTGGCGATCAGAGACTTCCAACACTTAGAATCCTTCTGTGCTGCTGACTTCAGCTTTTACTTGGCACCTGCCAAGCAATTTAGAAGTATACTACCTGTCTCGGATTTCACTTAGTTAAAAAAAATCGAACTTCCTACGTTTAACTTTTGTTGACAGGCAGTGCTCTTTCTAAGCTGGCAAATTAGAGCCCATGAATCCCTTAGAGAATTCTGTAGTTTTGTGTTTGGTTAAATCAAGGATGAAAATCTCCCGTTTAGCAGTATTTGCCTTGGGTTTGGCAGAACTGACTCCCGGTCCCACTGATTTCCAGTCCTTTTTTAATGCGTCCATTGTATCAGTTTGTGGCTCTTTGTAAAGTCTCTTAGTCTCTTAGCTGGTTTGAATTATAAAATTTATATTACAACATATCATTCAAAGGTGCCTGTCTCATTTTGATAAATCCAGATACTTTGTTACCATCTTGGTGAAGCACTACCAGGGGAAAAGAAAGCAATGATATTGAGAACAAGAACATGTGCCTGAAGACGTCTCTATATCTGAAATTATTAAAAGAATTTTAGTATTGAAAAG